TTTTTGAGGAAAAGAAAAGGCAGATTTTATTAGTTTTTACTGACAAGCATTACTGTAACCGTCAGTTAGCGTACTAGCTAGCCAGTGGCTTACAAGCTAGATTACAAGCATCGATCTTCCTCTTTACTGCTAGTTATAACATGAAATAAACGTGAGTAAGCATCATCAAAGTATGTTGAGCGATACAGTACAACTTAATGAAATTGATCATGTCTTATGTAATCCGTTTTTCAGCATTTAATGTTTGAACAAATGTCATGAAAACAAGTTATCATCACAACCACTGTTTAAATGTTTATATTTCAGGAAATTATTTGGAGTAGAAACTTCATTTAAAATAGTTTTTAAATGTGCGTCAATGCCCAGCACTAATTATAACCAGTTTCTTGTCATATTCTATGTGCTCTTTTTTGGGGACTTAAACTCATGCAGTGGAATTGGAAGTTCTACTTGTTTGAGTGAAAAGAGAGCTCAACTGCTGAAAAACTTATTAAAATACGGAAGCTATGGAATTAATTCTATGGAATCTGTCATTAATTACTCACCCTCATGTCGTTCCAAACCTATAAGACCTTTGTTCATTTTCGGAACACAATTTAAGATATTTCTGATGAAATCCAAGAGCTTTCTACATTGACAGCAACACAACTACCACGTTCAAGACCCAGAAAGAAAGAAAGGACATCGTTCACGAGAGTACCACGACACATACGTGTGATGCTGCTGACGCAGGAGCCGGCGTTCTGACGTAGAACACGCATGCACTGTGCCTTGTTTACAAGCATTCTCAGATTTCATCAAAAATATCTTCATTCGTGTTCCAAAGATGAATGAAGGTCTTACTGGTTTGGAAAAATCAGTTTCCACAGGTTTTCCTAGTAAGTTCAACTAATGACTTTTTACAGTGTAAGCCTATTGTTTATATTATAATCACAGGGTTAAAATAATAATAATGAAAACACCTGGGAAATATTATGGGCAATATTTCATTATTAAGGTGTTTTACCTTCATTAGCCTTTAATACAACTTCCAACATTCTCAGAATAGATTCATACAACTTCTGAATAGTCTACAGTAGAATGTCGTCCATCAGAAAATCTGCTAATAGATTCAGAGATGCTGAAGAAGAGAATCAGCTTCTTACTGTTCTCTCCAAAACTGCCTACAGTGGTTTGATGATTTTCATGTCAGATGATTTATCTGGCCAGGGCAGACGCTAAATTTCATCTCGATGATCCAACTGTCTAGGTTTTATGAATCTTTTCTGCTCTTTAGTACTGGTGTCTGTGATTCAAGTTTTAGCATTTGCAGCTCTTTCATGGATGTTGGCTTTGTGGCTTTTTTTGTTTGTTTGTTTTTGTGGAAACATTTAAACTCCAAATAGCTTAATGTTAAATTGAACATATGGGGTCGCAATATAACAAACGGCGGTGTTTAGCCCAAGGGAGGACTAAACTTTGCCCAGGAGTTTAGCGGTCTGGAAGTTGTCACCCGTGAATCAGGTACGATGGGTAAATAATGGTCCTCTTCACTTCATGGATTATTGAAGCTACTCAACAGTTATTTAGGTCAATATAATAATGGTTCAGTTGCAATCGGACAGTGCGTGGTTGCTATTTCTCAGAGCTGGTCAGAATGAACTTATCCCAGAGATTTCTGGGGTGGACTTCCAATAATATGTCATGTACCAGTCCTTCGACTGGTTGTATCCAATTTTTTGACTATAACCACATATCAAATCAAATCAAACCAATATCTGGAAATAAGCTTGTGATGTCCCTCGGAGAATAAAAACTTAATGACTGATTCCAGGCAGTTTCTCTTTGGAGTCTCCATTAAATTTTCTTTAACTTCATGTTACAGTGATAAAATAAAAATGATTATATTACCTTGTTATATAAAAATATCAAATGATCCATGAGTTATTATAAGGTAACCTCATTTACACTGCAGCAGTCCACTTATTAGAAAATATTACAGAGGTAAGCATTGAAATCTTTCACTAGAGGTTTACTCATAAGCAATTGTGCAACAAATTAGACTGATTAGTTCAATACAACAAAGCTACTATTAAATTAAACTCTATAGAGTTTAATATACTGTGTTTAGGGGCAGTCATGATCTAATGGCTAGAGAGTTAGACTTGTAACCCAAAGGTCGCGGGTTCGAGTCTCTGTACCAGCAGGTATTGTAGGTGGGGGGAGTGAATGACCAGCGCTCTCTTCCACCCTCAATACCACGACTGAGGTGAGACCCTTGAGCAAGGCACCGAACCCCCAACTGCTCCCCGGGTGCCACAGCACATGGCTGCCCACTGCTTCGGGTGTGCACTTGGATGGGTTAAATTCCGAGTATGGGAAACCATATTTGGTTACACTTTTACTGTCACCTTTCACTTAATATAGAGTTTAATATATATATATATATATATAGGCTAATTATCAATACATTGATAAAGGTTCTCAGACTTAATCATGCTATAGCATCTGTTGCAATTAATAGTTTATATTAAATAAATAATTTAGTGTACAAATGTACAAAGCTCAGAACTGCAGTAAACTAAAATAAGCCATATATATGAAAGGTAATGAGTTGATGCTGCGCTAAGCTTGCAGCTGTTTGCTCGAACTCCATGTTAACAGTTGGCGTGGTCATAAATAAATGTTGTTTTGACTGCGGAAACCATATAGTGAAAGGTATGTCAGGTTCAGATGCTTTTCACGTGTCAGGAGGCATTTGATTAGGGTCACTACTGTATTGTAATTCAGGACCTAGTATGGATCATGGCCAATAAAAGCAAACCCTGGATGTCTTGATGACTGTGGTGATAAAAAGATTTAGACCTTTTTCCTTCAAACATGTACCACAGTAAGATACACAAAAATAAAACATTTAAAGCTTAAAGAAAACGTAGACTGAAAAGATTATTCTGTCTATTGCAAACTTATGCAGCTGAATTATTCAGTTTATGGATGATAATTTAAAAAGTTGACTTGGACTTAAAAGTTAGCAATGGTTACAAAGCAAAATGATAACTTGTCAGCTCTAAGTGAGGGCGCTTCCATGGGTTTTGACATTTAACATATTACAACATTTAATGCACTTCTTTCTTTTAATTTAGAACTCAAAACACTATATGCTCCCTATGAATCATGTTTTGCTTTAGCTGTTTATGTTGGAACTAAACACTACATCCCCCCGAGGTTATTTAAGACCGTGAGTGATGAGAAGCTTGATAATTGTTGGCTGGTTTGTGGCTATCAATTATTGCTGTAGGGAAGCCTTGATGGGCTGCTGATCTCAGACTATTTACAGCTATTCCAAAGCAGTAAAAACACAGCAGGTTTGAAGTTGTCAACTTCATCCTAATGCATTTTAAATTTAAAGAGTCTGTGAAGCCAAGCTGCCCCACTGCATGCATACTCCTCCAAAGCAGTTTGCCACGTTACTGACAGTACTGTCATATACAGAGTTCTTTACTTTAGACTGTGTAAATGAAACCTGAATGTACTCTACATGACACACATCTACGTACAGGTCATTCACACTATTGTGCCTTACAACATTTTTCTATAGGGTTGTTCACCATAAATGAACAAAGAAAGATTAACCCCACCCTCTGACTTTTTTTTAATCACTTGCACCACACAAACATATGTAACGTGTCCTGTAAGAGCTATGGACATGTGAGCAAGTATATATATATAGTTCAAGTCTTTTGTAGGCTGTTACAAGACTATACCTCTTACCTATACAAGACTGAGCTGTGTGGGACAGCAGAGCGGTCGTCACGGTTGGCATTTGGCAACATTTGCAGGAATGTGCAAATAGGATGCCAAGCAAATTTTGAAACATTCAGGAAATAGCTTTTAATGCGGTAAAGAGTTTAAAGCAGCGTCAACTTCTTTAATAACATCCAAGTTTTGCATGGAATGACAAATGCAATTTATTACTCAAAACCAATTAGTATTGATTGCATGAGAAGAAAATATTATTAAAATAATAATATTTTTATTTGACCATACTAATAACCAGGCACTGCTCATCGCCTGTCCAATACAGTCCCAACAGTGCAGCATGGTGGTGGCAGCATCATGCTGTGGGGTGTTTTTCAGCTGCAGGGACAGGATGACTGGTTGCAATCGAGGGAAAGATGAATGCGGCCAAGTACAGGGATATCCTGGACGAAAACCTTCTCCAGAGTGCTCAGGACCTCAGACTGGGCCGAAGGTTTACCTTCCAACAAGACAATGACCCTAAGCACACAGCTAAAATAACGAAGGAGTGGCTTCACAACAACTCTGTGACTGTTCTTGAATGGTCCAGCCAGAGCCCTGACTTAAACCCAATTGAGCATCTCTGGAGAGACCTAAAAATGGCTGTCCACCAACGTGGTGTGTGAGCATTATAGTAGAGGAAAACAGTAGGTAGAGTGTGTATTATAGAAGAAAACTGGTGAAGCATGCTGTTTTCAAAAACTTTATTTACAAAGAAATTATTTACATGTATTAGTTAGACAAAT